ACCCCAAAGAAGGAAACATCTTGCTGACCTGCCAAAGCACTGTTTTTCTTAACTATTTTTTTTGTTTAAGTGGTGTAGTTGAACCAGGCTTATCAAATCGATTAAAAATGGAATGAAGCAACGTGTCCACGATGTACCGTAAAGATTTTTTAAATAATCCATCAGCATAAATATGAGAATCTTACCTTCCTCAGCTTATAAACTGCGATAAACAGACTCTGATACTTCTGGGATCAGCTCAAAGTACACTTAACCCAGAAGTAATCTTTTTCTGTTGGATCTAGTGGGATCTGGATAAGACTCGGTTAGTGTTGATCATCCATGGCCAATCATTAAAAACAAACTACTGAAGTTATTGAACATATTTAATTATAGGAATATTTTAAAAAAGTTTACGCAGCAGTGAGATGTAACATCACACTTCAACCATCTCAGCGAGCCCTAATCTGCAATAACTCTATTGACACGCTACGGATTTAAGCTGTCACACCCCTCTCAGTGCCTCAGGAAAAAAATAGGATCTATCATGACTAAAACAATGCAAAGCATTTATTTAAAGGACAGGTTTTGGCTACTGGACATCTGCAGCTCCTGCTCACTAGCTTCAAATTCAGTTGCATGCTTGGTATCTCCAGAAGTCAAGGCCTAAGTAGTTCGAAATCAATCAATCAGTCGAGAGGGAGGAAAGGAAAGTGGTATCAATGTTCAACTAGAGGTTGTGAATTAATGGTGGCTCTGGACAGACTTTTCACTCCCGTTCCCCCCATCTCCTTTCACTACCAGTTTCATGTAGATTATGGCACTCCATGACACAGCTTGGCAGAGCCACAAAAACTGTTTGTGCAGAAGGGGGGAATAGAAACACTCTCATACCAAGAACACAGTTTTTCAAGAAAGATATCCAGCTGCTGAAAGCATATACTTCATCAGGTTTACAAATACATTCAAAAAACTGGAGCTTTAATCTTTGTATATTTTGACAAAGAATAGTCTGGGACCATTCTACACATCAGGAATTAGTGCCAAGTTGAACATTTCTTGTATGGGACGGAAGGATGTAGAATACAAGCCAGGGCATATAAACAGCGTTTTTCTACGCTAAACAAAGTCCAGGTGTAAGCTTAGACTATCCGACCATGAAAACACTGAAAGACAAAGTAGAAGGGAAATTCTTTGCTACTGCTGAGGTTGCCATCCTGGGCTAAATAATGGTTATATCGAAGGCTACTGAAGGGCCTGCAGTCCGATGCAATGAACATGAATGCACTGATACTATTGATAATGCATGGCTGAAAAAAAAAAATTAAAAAATCACCTGCAAGCTAGAATAGTTCCAAAACATGGCAAGGGCATACCTGGTTCCTATATGATGTGCACCAAATCTGTTAACGAGCGGTAGTGCTTACCAAACCTGCCACGCATATATTAGATGGTATTTTATGAGGTTCAGATTTTGAGCTTTACCAGTGGAATACCAGTTGTTGCACAGCCTTGAACAAAGAGAAGGCACACGAGTGACAATTCTGACAGAAAAGGTTTTGGCTGTGGAAGAAAAGGCAATGGCAGGCAAGTAGAAGAGTTCTTGGAGCTTCTTGGTCAACACCTTGAAGAACAACGTCGGTGCAGAGCAAATGACTATGGAACATTGAGGGCAAGACAATCTTCCAGAAACGAGCGCCCAATCTGAGAATCCACTTACAGAAAATACCACTTGTAAAATGTGCACAGTGTGATCTACATTGCATTGCCTTCTACCTGTGGGAGGGGTTTATCCCTGAACTCTGGAGGAATTGGATCTCAACTTCCCCCCCAAGCTGTGGATATTTTTTCTGCTTGATTTATAGCAACTTCAGAGACCTGGCAGGGGAAGAATATCAAACTCACCCGTCAGCAGAGCACAAATAGAAATGCTAACGTTAAGAATTAAATTCAGTAAGAGTGACAGCTTAATCTTTGCATCTTAAATGTCAAGAACTGGTACGGCAGAGACCCCAGGCAACGACCACATAGCACTGTCTTGATTGAGCCTTTGGGAGGAAGGTGGTAAAGTCGGCTTCCTATTCAGGAAAATCACTGACCAAGCGAGCCTTAAAAGCCTGCAGGACCATAAACAGTGGTGAGAAAGTCTCACACGCTGTCTGGCTTCAGGCTTGGACTGCTCACGCGTTTTTCTGCAAGTTTATAGCTTCTGAGCCAGTCTCTCCAGTGCTTCCTTTCTTCTATGCAGCTGTTCTTCAGAAGGACGAGCAGCAGCTTTCAACGCGGGTGCCCTTTGCCACTGAACATCAACCCCCAGACTATGAGGTTGTTTGCTGGGAGTAGAGAGTGAGGGAATAAAGGACACAAGACATGAACGAGGCTCAAACATTAAGTACCACAGATATTTTGGTGAAGTAGTTTTATGCGGTAAGAGGTGAATCAGCATGCAAAAGGGGAGACTTCCAGAGAACTGGAGCAGAGAAAACACCACATACCTAGTGCTGACTGGGTTTGACAAGGAAAAAGGT